AATTCACAATTTGAAGTATGCTGCAAATTCTTTCGTTTTGAAATCACTCATCTTCAAGAATCGCACAACAACAGCTCAATAATTTGAAGAGGCGCAGGCATGGTTTCCCACTTTGATAGTGCTTATGTAACTGAATTCTCCTTTTTATTACGTTTAACCATTTCCATAAACGTAGTTATATAGCACTTTTCATCTAACATTAAGGGAGAATTGCGGTAACGGTCCTGTCAGACACTGAAGATTTGTTGCAGTGGTCTTTCTGATCAGATTAGGTCTGATTTCAAGGGATTATTCCTATAATGTTGAATTATAAATACTGTAACACATAGCCTTCTGACCGGAGTACGTGATAGCGAGTTAGAAAACAGCTATTTCAAGCTAGCTGTGATCTTTCTCTGTTTTGAATTTGAAGGCAAGTGTCGTTTTCTTGGCAGAGGATCGAGTATTTTCTGGTAATCATTGTTTTTTGGTGGCGCGATTCGGAAAATAATTAACTTTCATTCCATTTTTGAGATACTTCTTAGTTGTCTAGAATATATATCTCATATTATTTGGTAGGCTTTTTTTATAATACAAAAGAATGACTAGACGAGCTGGCACAGTAAGGGCCTATAGCTTCAATAATAAATTCGTGGAATCTTCCACAGCGTTTGTTTCTCGCAAGATTTTTTTTCTGTAGTGAACCATAAATTGATATACAGTTTCTCTTTCTGGCTGCCACTTCTTCTCCCTGTAAAAGATGATGCTGATAGTCATGGCCGTTTACATTATATTCCCAATTACATCTTTCTGAAATCTCTGTTTTTAAAAAAAAACGTGAGAATTTCCAGTTTACAGGAATTTGTGAAAGACTTTAAGCATTATTAGCAGGACTCAAATTTTAAAACATTAAAAAAATATTCCATAGGTAGATTTAAAATTTCTAACTTTGCATTTTATGGGAAGGTGCGGAAGGAGTACGGCAGATGTTTAAGTTAGACGGTTATAAAAAAAATTTGTGGTTTTGATCGTTGTTTGCCGCAACAGTTTGGTTATGGGAAGTGAACAATTTAACACGTAGTTATTATTTGTACCGAAATTACAGTTTCAAGTATGACATTAAAAATGAAAAACAGGTTGCATTAGTGGCTTAAAATAAGTTAGCAATTGGTAGGTGAAAGTTAGCAAATTTTTTTTAATTACTGGACAAATGATAGCGGTTTTCTTCCAAGATACGAATTATAGAAGTTTTTTTATTATATTTTACAGGCAACACGTACGAAAAATCTTCATATGATTGCCTGAAAAAAAGTTGGTTAAGAATTTGAATTGGGAAAACAGAAACATTATAGAAAGTAAAATAGGTATTTCTTCAGCATAGCAGTTTTCTAGCAAAATTGAGTCAAGCGAGGAGAGTTTTTACAGAAAATACTAATTTTTGAGAATTCCAGTGTTGATAAAAATTTCATATAGTGTTTCTTTGTACTGCTCCTTAGGAAATAATAAAAATGAGTTTGAAATTTGAAATAGGAGAGTTGTTCCTAAATCTTGTTTTAAAAGAAGAAAACAGCTCTAGTCACTCAGAATTAAGGAAACGTGTCGGAGATTGGATTATTACAGTCTAATCGGTCGGATTCTGATCTCTGTTAGGAGTACTGATTACATAAATTGCACTCGTTATCAATCAAATCTGAACGCTGTTTAATGTTTTTATACAAATTGAAACAAAAAAAAATCAAAAATACAATTTGTGTTTCAGTCAAAAAGCGTTTTTTTTTTTTCTAATCTAAAAGATTAGGTTTTAATAATATCTTTTTTCGCTTCAATTGACCTATTTAATGATCTTCAGTATTGTGCTGAAACTATTTGCGGGCGTCAGATTATTGTGTTATTACTTTGCCTCCTGGAAATGATATATGACGGTAAAATTTTTTGGATAAATGTTCAAAGAAAGATTGAATCTTTTTTTTTTTTGTGCCTGACTTCTCTCTTTTTCTTGAAAAGTTCTTTGGTTATACAAAAGTAAACTAACTGCATTGCAACAATAGCAGCAACATCTGCCCTTCAGATGCATTTTTTAATTCGTCGACTGTGTCGGTAAAGTCGTTAAAGGTGGGTTTCATCAATCAATATAAATAATTTGTCGAGGGCGCAAATATGTATATATAGACAAAGAATTTGCTATTGTTTTTTAATCATTGATTTCTAAACAAAAATTTTTATAAATCCTTAAAAGTTTGCATATAACAATTTAACTATTTCAAAATCTTTGACAGCTGAGAAAAAACGATAAAAACAGTAGCAAAAAGATGGTCAACAGGTGTGAGTGAGTTTTTGTCGATAGTTGAGGATACATCAATAAGTGGTACAGGTAAAGAGAATGGGTCAATTGAAGCAGATGAAGGTGAATGACAAATAGATGAAGAATGGGGAGAGAATGATGAAGAATAAGGCGAAGAAGAAGATGAAGAAGTAGCAGTAGAAGAAGGGAAGAAGAAGAAGAAGAAGAAGGAGAAGAAGAAGATGAACGAGGAAAAGAATTAAAAAAATTTTCTCTCTTCGCGAACTCTGTTGTCTAACGTTAAGAGAAGGTTTCATTTTTTCAGAAGGTTCTCAATAAAAGATATTTAGAAAAAGAGTAATTCTGCTCAAAATTACTGCTACAATTTTGATCATAGACGGCCTCTTTTGATTTTACTGACAAAAGCATCAAAAAAAAGGGGAAAAAAGAAAGTTTTTTCTTTTCATTTTAATACAATGAGGTAAAAGTTGTGCGACGGACAAGCAGTTTTGCTGTGGCAAGAAGGACACTTCATCGACGTCTTGACGTAACATCTGTAGCATCTTGTCGCATACTCTTGCTTATTCCTTTTTTTTTTCTTGCTATTGTCATTTTTCTCATGGATTTTAGTTATATTTTCCAGAGCAAAAGGAGTACTTCAGAAATATTCATTATTCCTTTTTTTAGGTGGCCATAGCGGAAAACGTTCGCAAAAGTGACCTAATTTATTTCTGGGCAACAAGAGGCATCTGCCGACGGGTGTCCGTGTTCTTACTTCCCCGATAACCAACAACCCCCTACCACTCACAAAGCTGTCTCCAGTTCCATTTCGCTGTGGTATACAGTGCAGCTGATCGCTGTCATCGGGATCTTTTGCTGTCCAATGTTTCTTGCATATTAGCCATTGTTTCATCTATCGGTGGTCTATTATCGTGATCACTATTACAGTTTTCCCAACAAACTACCTTTACTTATAACGTTATTTGGTATTCTAAGTAAAATTAATCTGAAACAATAGCTATAAATGTTGCGTAAAGTGAGCCTGTATTTAATAATTTATTTATTTATAATTTTTACCTTTCTTAAAGAGAGATAAAAATACGCTAATTAGCACAGCTTAAGAGACGTGAGGTTACTGTTGCTGATAATGAAGAAAAAAAGTTGCTAGCATTTTCAAGCTGTTTGTATTAGTTTTTCTTCTAAACTTTTCTTATTTTTTCAATCATGCTTAACGAAAGAAACGACGCCGATGAAACATTAGTGCAGTCATTTTCAGATAAAGCAATTTTTGAAGAGTTATTTTATCTTTCAACTTTTTCAAATATATTTATGCAGATTACAGTAGTATTTAATAGTGTTTTAATGAGCTACTTGACAAAGTGTTTTATAAATTTCAGTTGTTTCAGCTACTGGTAACTTTTTTTTTGTGTTATAATTAATAGAATTTTTTCTTTCTGTTCTTTACTCCTAAGCTTAACTTTT